AGAGAATAGAATAGAGAATAGAAAAGAAAATAGAACAGAACAGAATAAAGAATAGAACAGAACAGAACAGGAATAGAATAAATGGAATTCTTTTTTGGCCAAGTGTGAATTAGGTGCGCAAGTAATTTGTCTCTGGTGCAGAAACTCTCAGTATACATACAAGCGACAAGTGATAAATCGTGGTCATAATCATAAAATACAATCATCATAAATCATAAGATACGAGGCTTGGTGAGTCATAAGCTATTAAACAAGCAATTGACATAATCTGACAGCAGAAAAAGACCTAGTTGTCCATCAAATCAGCCTTTTGAGTTTACTTGCTTTTTGTTTTCTTTCTAATTTATTCATTTTTAAGGACTATTATTTTATTTTGTATTTTATGATACCGAGAAGGCTTCCCTCGCTTTCCCCAAACAGACCTCAAGGCACAGGTGGTCTTCAGCAGGTTCTGACCAATTCTGGAGAACCGGTGGCGGAAATTTTGGGTAGTTCGGAGAGCCGGCCCATCCCGCCTCCGACTGGCCCCGCCCACCCCAATCTCTTCTCCGCCTCCCATGGAGTCCCAGCTGATCGGCTGGGTCCCCTTTGGTTGCCCTGCACAGGAGGACGGAGCTGGAAAGCAGGTCAGTGGGGTAGGGAGGGATTGGGGATTTTGCAGTATATCCTTCCCCTGCCACGCCCACCAAGCCACGCCCACCAAGCCACGCCCACAGAACCGGTAGTTTAGAAAGGTTGAATCCCACCCCTGCTCCAAGGCCTCCCTTTCCACCAAAGAAGGACCAGAGGAAACCCAGGAAGTCGTCTCAGGAGCCCAGAGGCCGTTTATTTGGATTTATTTGCAGGTGTCGTCCGTCGTCCCCAGAACAGGGCGTGGCTTCCCTACTGAGTGCCATAGACCTCCACTTCGCACAAGGCCAAGGTGTTGACTCCAGGTAGGTGCACACTGACGTAGCGGCCTTCCTGCCCGTTGCAGTAGATGGTGGTGATGGAGCCCAGGCGGGTGTTCAGGATAATCCCACAGCTGTGGGGCAAGAGAGGTCGCAGGTTAGGAGGGCGGTCCTTCTGCCCCCCCCCCACACGCCCCCTGAGAACAGACCCCCCCTCGCTCCCCCCAGCTCTCCGGTCCTCTTCTCCCTCTTCCATTCGGCCTCCAGGTGGCCTTTAATATTGAAACTCGTTGGAAAAATTAATCTAGTTGGACAAAGAATAGAATAGGAGTAGAAGAAGAGAACGAAATTCAATACAATATGAATAGAATACAATAGAATAGAATAGGGGATAGAATAGAATAGAATAGGGGATAGAATATAATAGAAGATAGAAATAGAATAGAATAGAAATTGAATAGAATAGAAAATAGAAGAGAGAATAGAATAGAGAATAGAAATAGAATAGAATAGAAGATAGAAATAGAATAGAATAGAGAATAGAAATAGAATAGAATATAATAGAAGATAGAAATAGAATAGAATAGAAGATAGAAATAGAAATAGAATAGAATAGAAGATAGAAATAGAATAGAATAGAGA